GCCATTCTGGTTCGTTTTCTCTCCTTTCCTTGCCAATTTTATAGTTGCATATAGAGATCAATACATAAGACTCAATGCTGGCAGTAAAACATACACAAATAATCGAAAGATCAAAAAATAAGTCAAATGCAAATAAGATTGAAGTGAAAACTTTCAACACAGTATGCAGTGTGTGACTCAAATAACAGCTCAGAACTAGGTAAGAACTCCTCGCTGGATGAGACTTCCAAGCCTATGCTTCAGATCACAATGCACATATGACATGCAGCAAACATAAACTCAAATACAAGAAACGAGGTCAGTTTTAAAAGTGAAGAATTCCTGCACAATCACAGAGCTAAGGAGAATGAAGAGGCAAATAATGCAGGGGCTGATAATCATGATTAACTACATACATAACCTCAATGATTTTTAATCTAAAGACTCAAAAGCCAAAAATATAGATAACAAATAAAAAGAAACCATGGAACAAACAGAAACTAAGAAAGCCCCTAGCATTGCACCGAATCCTTGTGAACACACATGATAAAATTTATGGATTTCCAAAGGCATTACCTTATCATAGTCCTTGTTCATTGCTTCCCAAATCATTCTTTTGAACAGTGCCGCCTGCTTGCTGTTAAGGTACCCAACAACCTACAAACCACAAGCATCATGCCTTCCATGTCAAAATTCCAAAAATAAAAACTTGAAGCAACAATGATATACAAATCCAAATCAAAGACAGCACTTTACTGATAAGTCTAGACCAAGCACTATATACCAAGTGGCTATGATGGAAGTGATCTTGAAGAAAGCTGATGGATCATGGGCAGGGGGTAACTTTCAGTTTCAGGATCACTGCTATTGTCTGTCATTAATTTTTACCCTCTATTTTCAAACGTAGAAAATGTGGTAGATTGTCATGAACCAAGAACAAAACTTTTCACAATAACCATGAAAGGATATTCCAAGAGCATTGATATGTAGATTAAATTCAAATCATCATTGAGGAATTTGAGCATCTACCTTCTATTCATCAACGTGAGAAAAATGGGCAACCACGATTCAAACTCAAGAAAAGCAAGAGCAATATACCTCTGGTTTTTATTTTCAAAAATAGTACAGGCGTGCGGCTATACTATGTTTGACTTAGCATAGTATAGCCGGTCGGCTATACTATAAAAAAGACCCGACTAGTACCATAGGGCCATGTGTGACCAGTATAGCCGTTCGGCTATACTATTTACAAATTTAAAACAGGGACCCGCCTAGCCCCTCAGTGCCCACATGTGAAAACAAGTATAGCCGCGCGGATATACTAATTGTTTTTTTTTAAATGCCCGGGTATAGCCGAATGGCTATACTGTTTTGGAAAATGCGCAAGCAGGGTATAGCCATTCGGCTATACTATTTGCTATTAAACAAATGTCAAACTCTTCCTTCAAAATTATAAAAGGCCATATGAGTCCACGAATAAGGCAAATCACAAAATATCACAAAATTTCACTCTCACCGCACACACACACGTAGGAAACACATGGCTGCACATACGCGAGAGAGAGAGAGAGAGAGAGAGAGAGAGGAGTTTTATGCAAAGTGTGAGAGGGTGGGGAGGAGGGATGGTGATGCGATGGGTTTTGGGTGGGCGGAGGAGGCTGCTGCGCAGTAAGGGTTTAAAGTTGTTAGAAGGGGCGGCAAGAAA